GCGGACGAATGGTGGAGATGGGAATGGATACCGCTCACGCGGTTATTTTCCGCAGTAAGTTTAAGAAAAATCATGTATATGTCTATATGATTCAAAGGTTTCAAGTATGTATGTTTAAAAAGTATACGTACATATGTATGTTAAGAAAACCAAGGTTGTAGCTAACAACCCTAGTTTTGAGTATTTAAGTTTTAGAACGTTGCAACAGTACATGCAACAAATAAATGAATTTTAAACATGGCGATTTAAATGAGTAATTTTAAAAGGGCTTTAAGATGTACTTGAATTTAAGATTTCTCACGAAATTCGTTTTAAAGTCAAAATTAAATGGCCCGATTGAATTGGCTAGTTTTAGAAAGGCTTTTAAAGAGTATTTGAAACAAGAGTTCAAATGCTACTCTGTTTGAAAGATATTTCTAGAACATTTTATTTTAACTGAAATTAAGAAAAGCTTTAAGAAATTTAGTGATTCACTTATTTGAAATTATTGTTACAAATTATGAAAGTATTCCTTCTTATATTAAAAAAAATGTTGCGCAAATTTTAAGAAACCCCAGTAAATACAAGTTAAAATTTAAGTTACAGTGGCGGCCTCATAATAGGATCGTCACATCTGAACAGTTTGCAACTAGGAGGCTCGGATTATTGGAAGGTTAAGCATGTACCGTCAGTTGTTTTCCAGTATCGAATTCGTGGCAACCATTATGTGTCATACAAGCCCGGTGAGCCTGCATTGTTGGACCGTGTGAAAAAGTTAGTAAGAACCACAACTAATGTAGATTTATATGGCCGTCAATTGAGTTTCTTTTAAAATGATGACGAAGAATTGGCCAGAACATCGAACGCTGATTGGAGCGGCCAGTATAGTTTCTGCACTGATGATTTTGAAGACTGATCCAAGGTAATTTGGTGCGTTTCAATTTTTTCTTTCCAAGAGAAATTAATCTTTAATATTTTGATATTTGTTCTTTTCTGTTCATAGTTGGAAAGAAGATTTTTTTCCTTGGCTCAAAAATTTATAAATAGAATTTTCCATCCCTGCTTTCACTAGTCATTTTTAGACATTTATATTGATTTTACTAACATCAGTCTTATTGCTCTGTTTTATTGGGAAGACAAATTCCTCGAAGATTTGGACTAAAGGCCAAGCTGGAGTCATTTTCTCAAATCAATACAAGATCGTCCACAGGAACATGGTTAATTGTTGTTGGTCATCGCTCTGTTTGTGTTTGTTTCTTGTCAATTTGATTTCTATGGTTTGTCATCATTATGTTATCTGGTCAGAACTTGTCAACAATTGACAAATGCTTGAAATGTTTCTCTGAGTCAATAATTATGAGTCTGCTGATTATTATTTTGTTTAGTCAACAATTGATCAAATAATTTGATTAATAAAAGGCAAATGTGGGAGGAGATATGCTACATACATATATATATATATATATATATATATATAGCAAATCAACCTTATGTCATCACTTGGTCGTTTAATTAGCTGATGACCCTTTTCAATTAGGGGGAAAAAAAGCTGCACCATGAAGTGCAGACGATACTCGACATCTATATCAAATTACCATTCAAACAACAGATTATTTAACTCCTATGGAATCTTCTTGGATTCCTTTTTTTATTACATATAAGAGCCATGAGTCTCACCTTCATCATCTCTTATTTCCATCTTTTACCAATATAAAACCTGTTAAGGCTCTTCTCATTTCTGAGTAGTTTTTTCCAGGTATAAAAGAAAATCAACATTCGATACTGCTTCTAAATTTCCATTTTCCAACAGCAATTGATACATTTCCTTAATTTTTATCCTTTCTAATACTAGATTTTGAATCTGGAGTGAAGTAAACGCGATCACTATCACTCCCTACCGTCAATTGTAACCAGTCAATGGGGAGTTCTTTTAATCCGATCACGAAATTAACGGCACTAATTTCTGAACTGCATAAGATTTTTTTGTTTTTGTTTTTTCAGTGTGTTTATTATGAACTAAATTATGTAAACAAGTTAATTCAAATAAAATATGCCAAGCTACAAGTTTAAATTTTTGTAGAGGTACATACAGAGATATCCCAAATAGATGCAAACACATTTTCAATGAAAAAGAGAAATGCGGTACCTGCTATGAAATTTGATTAGTGAACGGAAGACCAAAATGATACTTTTTCAAGTTGCCATTTTGAACAAGGAATCAAACATCTTTATAGATAAAGGTCCTTTTTCATCGAACAATAACGGTTAAAGTTCTTGATGACGATCAAGACTTATTTCTTAAACTGAACTCCGCACGAACACACTGTTTGCATGAGGGTGAGTATAAAGACTGCACTTGCCACACCTACCGCGAAAATAGTCAATGGAGAGCTGAAATAGTCGTGCTTTAAGGTTGCCATCCATGTGTTCCACGGTTTATTGTAATAATCATTCAGGCCATCACACAGATATTTGAAGTTGAAATGTTTATGGCGCAGGATACTTCCCCTGGCAAGGTTATTAAGGGATGCCACGACCGCTTGAGCATCAGGAAGCTTACTCTCAAACACTTCACTCTGAACAAGCAACTGAACATCCTGGGTGCTGTTGATGAGACGGTTGAGGATGAAGACATAATCATTGATGTAATATTCAAGAAAATGGCGTTGCTCAAAGGCAAGCATATTCAGAATAAAGCTTTCTGTCGAGGTACGTATTCGTAGACGAGGAATCTCCAAAGTTCCTTGACAGAATTTTATGTCTAACAAGCTTCCAGTTGATCTCTTAAACTTGACTCCAGCATTGTACAACTCTGTCAGATTAGGTATTGTTAGAGTTTTCATTTTGCGTTTACTTGGTCACTGTGTTGGAACATGGCATTGCCTAAAGAAGTCAACAAAATGCTTGATATCGGAATCGCCAATCTTTTCCAAGATCTTCGTTTCTTCACCCAAGTAAGCTTTAGCTTGAAAGAATTTATAGGTAATCTTTATTAGAGCAATTCTTTCATTACTCCGGTGAACATTTAATTTTGTCAGTGGAAAGAGATCTTCAAATATGAAGAATGGAAGCTGATTTTCCAGCAACATCATATCATACCTTATATCCGAAAGCTTCAACGGTTTATGGAATATGTGGTCATCTTTATCTATCTCTTTCCTGCAGAAGTTCCTACACAAAAGCTCAATGACAAAGGCAGCATCCACAAGGATCATTTCCACAAATTGATTGCTATCTATACGTTCAAAGGTTTCAGAGTAATGGCTACGCACTTTCTGCTCCCTTTTCTTAACGAATTCAACGTATTGCTCCAGGTTTATCTTGGTTCTATCGAGAAAACTCTTCAGATAAAGCATTTTGTCTTCTTCCATGGCCTCCAAACCTTCATTGCCGTGGTGAAATTGTGACGACCCTCCTATGAGGCCGCCACTGTAACTTAAACTTTAACTTGTACTTACTGGCATTTCTTAAAATTCATGAATTTACAATCAATAGTTAATGGTTCAAATTTGTCCTGAATCTTTATTTTTCTTTTATGACTGAAAACCATATTTGTTTTCTTTTTCAATAGAAAAGGGAAAGAAAGTTTTTAGATATTCGCGATTTTAAGATACAATCAATCGAAGGGATTGATCCAATCCAAACAAAAAAGGAAGGGTTTCTTTTAGGAAAGGGATTAAAGAAAACGGGATTCAAAATAAAGTACAATAAAAAAAGAAGCAAAAGGGGAAATTTTGTCATATATTTTATATCGTTTTGGCGGCATGGCCGAGCGGTAAGGCGGGGGACTGCAAATCCTTTTTCCCCAGTTCAAATCCGGGTGTCGCCTAATCAACAAAAGAATCGAAATACTTTATTTTGTTTTGCTGATATAACTTGCCAAATTTTTTTCCAGCAGAAGCAAGTAGAGGAAAAGGACTCTGGATACTTGCTTGATTCTAAGTATCTGGGGGGTTCTACTCTATAAAATGCTGTAAATACTTTCGCTAGGGTTTAGGAAAAGATTATAGTCGTCAAAAAGAACTGGTAAAGTTTGATATGATAGCGCCCTTCCACTACTAATGTAGTGTCTACTGATAATGTAGTGTCTACTGACTGGGTCTTGAATTAGATTGGATAGCCGGACGGAGAATCTAATGAAATTTTGAGTTGCGGAAAGAGCAGAAGATACTTTGTATACATACTCATGAAAGTCTCTGAGTACTCTGACATTCATTCAATAGTAATTCGGTTGAATGGCTAATTGGCTTTTACTTTAACTTAAATTTATATTTATATAAACTTTTAGTTTATATACTTTTACTTATTTATATATTATATATTAATATATTAAAGTTTTAACTTAACTAAAGTACAAAAATAAATTTGAACTTTTCGATAATCTCGAGTCAAGAACGTAATAGGACGTCTTCGATTGGTTCATAGCGACAATCGAAGATGGTAAGATTGAGATCAAATAAAAGGGAAAAATCGAAAAGAAATAAAATAGGAGTATGCGATAGATAATGATCTAGCTTGATTCTATATTTTTATACTTTTGAATTAATGAAATGAAGGGCGACAAAAGAAAGAATAGGTCTTATTATTCTGACATATTATTAACATTCCTTTGATACTTTTGAGACTTCAAGGGCTGTCTCTGCCTATTTTGCTTGTACTTAATGTTTTCCGATTATACTAGAGATCTTTTAGTATAATCATTAGAACTTGGTCTAATTGGATTTATTGGATTTTTTCATCAATGGTGTTGGATCAGAACCCCCTTTTGACTCTGCGCTGGTAATTCTACTATTATTAGTAAACAATAATTGAATAATTCCTTCATAGAGATCGAGGACATAATTCACATGGATATAGTAAGTCTCGCTTGGGCTGCTTTGATGGTAGTCTTTACCTTTTCCCTTTCACTCGTAGTATGGGGAAGAAGTGGACTCTAGAAGTACTACTAATTGAGTTTAGGAATCAAACTGTATCAATTTTTTTTATAGATCGTTCTGCAAAGACTTTTTTTTTTAATTCACTATTTCAATTTAAAAATTGAATTTCAAAAAATTTTCATTTCGAAGTTATATGTATTGGATTCTAGTGGAGTAATGTATTCTATAAATAACATATGAACTCTTTCAATCAAACAAATATTTCAATTATTCCTATGTTCGTATTTCGAAAGTACTCCAAATGGTATGAAATCTTTTCCAATCGAATTCTTCATAAATTTTCTATATCGACAATGAGTAAGAGTAAGAACGAAAGCCTTTTATATACTTTACTTTTTTTTTTACTTTTTATTTGTTATTTTTTTCCGTCTTTCCTCTTCAAAGAGAAAAGAGTTCTGTTATTACATTACGTGGATACACTTTTTTACGGGAAACAACATAGACATAGTGGTTGTACAAGGAGATACTACACATAAGAAAATATTGTCTTGGGCAAGTCACATATTGCGCACTTACCATTTGTTTTATTATTTTAAAAATTTTATTTATGCTGGTCTTTTTTTTTCATTTCATATAATGGTTGAAGGGTTAAAATTGGTGAGGTTTATTAATCCTTTTCGAAATCCGAAGAAGTTCCCATGGAACCTCTGGATACTCTGTCAACTGGTTAATCAATTACTTCTTTGTTGGAATGCTAACAAGAAGATTACTTGATTTTCTTTTATTATACCCATACCTCTTTTTCTTTCATTGATTTGATTCTTTTTTTCAATGGATATCGGAATTCATATTAAAAAAGATAAGAAATCTAGGAATTAGAATCGTAAGAGTAAGAGCTGTCTTTCGATTATTTCAAATTGATTGGAATCAACACAAATCAAATAAATCAAATAGAAATAGATGAAGCAAAGAAATAGGATTGGGACATGACACTATGTACATTCTATATGGAATTTATATCTATATAATGTCAATTGATATATATTAAATTAACCTGTATCGTCATACAGCAAACTTTATACAGTACAATAATAATACTAGTATGGTAGAAAAATCGTTTTCTACCATACTATCTAGTATCTCATAGAATACTGCTGATTCTAGTTCGATGATTTCATTTAAAACGTGAAATTTGAATCCTTTTTATTTTATTTCTTCTCTTCAATCATTGATAAAAACTAAAAAGTCACAAGTTTAATTTAAATTAATCACTTTGACTTACTGTTTTTACGTATATTATAAGTAAAAAAGCAGTAGGAATTAGAATGAACAGTGCAGTAGCAATAAATGCGAGAATATTTACTTCCATAATTTCATCCTTTCGTTTTTCTTTAATTCGCAATAACTCGGGATTTAATCCCATAGAGATAATAAATCTTTTGTCTATAAATTCAATGAGATGAATTACATCGAGATATAATCGAATCGGATCAATATCATGAATAACAATATCTGACAAATTGATTCATCGTCAAGAATTGAATAATATAACATAGGAAGATCTTTTATCCATATCGAATTCCAAAGTCAATTTTGATACAATCAAAAACCCCTTTACTTTAACTTTGATTTATATTTTTCATTCTTTTCCACCCTTTCTTTCTATAAACTAGCGCCCTCCTTGTACAATCATTTGATGAAGTATCATCTAACCGCTTTTACACTTATCATTGGTTCCAAACAAAGCCAAACAATAGAAATTAAAAAAATAAAAAGATAAAAAGAAAAGGGATTCCTGTTGGCAATGAAATTCTACTCTTTGTACTTTCTTTCACAGAACAGAAAAATGGAAGATGAATTGCTGTATTTTTTTATTGGATTTGGATCCATCGGGACTGACGGGGCTCGAACCCGCAGCTTCCGCCTTGACAGGGCGGTGCTCTGACCAATTGAACTACAATCCCAAGGAAATAACATAATAAAATAAGGTGTACAGTATACATATTCTTATGTTTTTATTCAAATACTTTCGATATGGATATGAACTTTAGCAAGAGAGGCAGTGATTACTAATAATCTTGTCGTTATTTCCAAATTAATTGGATAGTCAATCTTTCAATGAAAAAGGTCTTTTTTTTCTTTACTCTTTTCATTAGACTTTACACTTCCAGATCTTGATATGAATATAGATCATTAGCAAGATCAAAACTTGTTGGAAAAAAGAAAAATAAATAGAGTAATAGCGATAGGGATAAAGATATATCAATATCAGAGATTTTGACTGGGATCGAGCATTTCTGGAGAACAACAAATGGCTTATATCATTTCATGGTGGATCGGCGAATTATTGGGCCGAGCTGGATTTGAACCAGCGTAGACATATTGCCAACGAATTTACAGTCCGCCCCCATTAACCGCTCGGGCATCGACCCGGGAAGAATCAATCCAGGCTTAGTGATAATCCACGATCAACTTCCTTTCGTAGTACCCTACCCCCAGGGGAAGTCGAATCCCCGCTGCCTCCTTGAAAGAGAGATGTCCTGAACCGGTAGACGATGGGGGCATACTTGCCCAACCGTCATCATACTATGATCATAGTATGAATAGTTTTTTGAAATTGTCAATATAATGGAATCGTATGACTCAACGCGAAGGATCTTTCTGTCTTTCACGATTATAGAGAATTCTTTGATTATTTATATTCCTGAATCGTTCATTCTAATCGACATTTTATAATTCCATAAATAAATCTATTTTCTTTTTTTCTTTAAATTTAGAATTTAAATAATATTATTAATAATTTCAATAATTATTAATAATGTTAATATTATTTTATTTAATAAATCTTTTTTTTTTTTTCTTTTTTTTCTAAGAATTTGGTTTGGGGGGCAAGCTGAATCGCTTTATTAATGATTCGATGAAATAGTTTGGATCTAGGTTGAATTGGTAGGTACCTGTATCAATCAAATGAATTTCGTTATGATGGCAATTAGAATCTGTCTTGAAACAATTCCTTGCATTGATTGATATTTATGAAATCAAATATCACTAAACCCCCTTTTTTTTTACTTATACTTACAATTTTTTACTTATACTTACAAGTATATCCTATACTCATTATGTAAATCAAATTTATCGTTCCTGAATGAACCACTATACGTTTAAGATATATTATAACGTATACGATGTATTTATATACATATAATATGTATATAGACTAAACACATAGTGATTAGTGGCTTATTCAGGAATTGAATCAAATATGCCCTTTTAACTCAGTGGTAGAGTAACGCCATGGTAAGGCGTAAGTCATCGGTTCAAATCCGATAAGGGGCTTTGTTTTTTTCATAAAACTAGCACGGTAGTATTCATATTTGAAGGGAGAATAGAGATTTTATTAATATTTTTCTTTTTTTTAATAAATAAGTAAGAAACCATATTAATTCATTATACTATTAATTATACTATTTATTATAGTATAGTAATTATAGTTA